TGAGGACAGGTGGATAGGTTCAGAATTACTAAAAGTCTCTTTTCCTAGGTTGTTTAATTTGTCAACTAAAACAGCTGTAATCTCCATTCCAGTTAAATGAAAATATGGAGTCAAATAATTTACATCCCCTCTAGTTCAAATCTGTGGTAACAATTTGACTTAGTACATTTTTTTTAACTGCAAATCAATTTTATTTCTAAAGAGCACAAAGGGTGCTCAACCCTTTATAGAGGAAAACAAGGCAACCATTTCTAAACAAAAAAACCATGGCCTAACATCCCAAGATCAACATGTATCAAGGCGGTAGTACCATCCAACATCATATATTCAAATATGACTTTGGGTCCAACAACCAATCCAAAAATGAAGAATATAATAATTTTCCATTCTATTTTTGAATCATAGGAATGACTGTATCTGGAAAAGATTAAATAATCTGTCAGCACCCCTGAACCTTATTCCTGAAAATTGCCTCCGTATAGAGTACCAATTTATACATACTTTTAGTGAAAGCTTTCGTATAGTATATGAATGGAAAATAAGAATTTTTTATCAAGTGAGAAGCTACTTATTCAATAAGAATTATTCATAGAAATTTTTTTTCAAATTTTCGTTCGCTTTATAAATGCCTTACTTAGAATAGTGTATGAAGTCAAAGTATCACAACTAATTTGGACTGAAGAGAGTAATTTTTTTTTTTTCATTAATTGTTTGTATATGATGTGGATCTTAACCCTCCATTTTACCTTGTACTGACAGCGACCTGGTTTAATCAGGATGTGAAAGAAATAAGTGATATCATAGCACAGAATGGTACTAATATAGCTGAAGCAGCTGGGTATACCCTTAATGGTTTCCCTGGAGACCAAGTTACATGCAACAACGGTAAGGTGATAAAATTTATTGAAATTAATTAATGAGTTAACACTTTCACTTCCACAACTAACTTATTTTTTTCACTCTTGCAGTTTCGGAGCCAACATATAATATCACAGTTAAACATGGTGAAACTTATCTTCTCCGCATTGTCAATGCTGCAATGCATGAAGGACAGTATTTTGGCATCACGAACCATAACCTGACGGTTGTTGCACGCGACGCGGCATATTTCAAGCCATTTTCTTCGGAATATGTACTGTTAGCCCCAGGGCAGACCATGGATGTTACTTTCGTGGCAAACCAGAACCAAAGTCAATATTACATGCGTTTTCGGTATTTTGATGATAGTGCTGTCAGTACTAACACACAAAATACCACAGGATATCTCATATATTCTGACCCCGTTGAGGATGTAGTCAATACGACTTTTCCATTCCTCCCCAATGCTACAGATAACACCACTGCTTTTACTTTCAATACCCACCTCCGGAGTCTATATTCCAGATCAGATACAGAACTCCCCCGAGGCGATGTTAAACGGGTTGTTCTGGCGGTGCAAGTAGATTATTTAAATTGCACTGGTTTATCTGATTGTCCATCCACCGGGAGACAAGCTGCAAGCTTTAACAGAATTAGTTTTGCATACCCAAATCAGACTAATATTTTGGAGGCATATTCCAAGTAAGTAGGTACATTTTTTTTTTTTAAAAAATTATACATTGGGAGGTTAACCATTTGGTATTATAATGATTTGAACCTCTGTTTTTAAACCTAAATTAAAGTTTTTAAGTTAATGAATATCAACTCAATCAAACTCTAACTGGTCATATCAATTAAAATACAAACATTTGTTAATTTCCCTTGTGTTGTTGTTTCCATTTTTGTATTATTACAAAAACCAATGATGTACATGGTTATTTTTCTTTATTTTGACAGTGGCATCTCAGGTGTTTACAACACAACTTATCTGCTTTCTCCAAACGAAGCAATGGAAAACGCAACCTATGCTTACCATGGAACGAATGTAATTGAGTTGGATTATGGAGATCCAGTAGAGATTGTGTTCCAGGCAGTAGATTTTGGTCCTGCTGGAGGTCATCCACTACATTTGCATGGTTACAGCTTCTTCCAAGTCGGTATGAATAATGGAACTTTTAACAGTACGACTGACCCTGCTTCATATAACTTGGATGATCCGCCAGAGATGAACATTGCTGTTCTTTTGGGGAGTGGATGGACAGCCGTTAGATTTTTTGCAAATAATCCTGGTAATTTTACATACTACTTGGGTTAATCCCCATATTTTGTTTCTCCGAATAGAAATATATGTTACATGAATACAGAAGTTTTTCCTGTTAACATAAGAAATGTACTCTTCCATTTTGTCATATCTTTCAGGGGTATGGTTTATGCACTGTCATTTTGAATCGCATGTCAGCTGGGGAATGGCAACAGCTTTCATTGTGAAGGATGGCCCTAACGAAGACCACAAAATGCGGGCCCGTCCAAAGGGAATGCCTAGTTGTGGTTCATGAGCCTTACAAGTAGTAATGCTCAATGTGATCATGTGCATCCTTGGTTTCTTCCTCGGTGTCTTCGTTCATGGTTTTTCTGTGCTACTGAATGTTGAATTGTATACGTTGAGAGTCTTTTCTGTAAGATTTGTTGAGGATTGCCTTGTTAGTTAATGTTTGCTGGTTAGATTCTACTAAGGTAACTGCATTCTATTGGATGTTCGTTGTGTCATTCAGAGAATAAAACGTTGTTAGTCCCTTTGATATGAAACATTTTTCTATTTGGTGGGTTGCCTTGTTACCAAGGAAGTTAAAACAACACCAAAAATACTTTTCACTGCCATTGGTTTAAGGGAAACGGTGAAGAGAGGGAGGGAAAGAGAATGGAAAGATGTCCTCCTCTCATTCTTTCTAACTAAACATACTAAATAAAAATATTTTAAATAATTTTATAATTAGAAAATAGTATTCATCAACTTTACTTTCTAAAAATTAAAAAAGAAATTATTTTAAAATTACGTTGTTTTAATAAATTTTTTTTTAAAAAAATTAAATTATTTTATTTTTAAAGTATGCATTAAGATAATTTTTGTCTTTTTTCTTTTTAATTTTTTAAAAGTGAGCAGACAAACATTAATCCTTTATAATTATACAATTTAAATTATTAATTTAAAAAAAAAAACATTTTTGTTTAAACAAACCAATTATCAAAGCCCAAAACTAAAATTCCCTAAAACCCAAACATGTTAACGAAAAACTGATTCCACTTTCTAATCGGTCCATTAAAGCTTGACGACTACACTACACTACTTACTGACCCAGCTTGCCCTTGAAAGTTGAAACCCAACTTCCAACCATCAACTATGTTCCTAAAAAATCCGAACATTTAATTGAACCAACTGAACACCAAGAACAACTTCTTCGGACAAACGCGGACACCAGAGGACTGAATTACATTTTAAAGTGGAAGTGACCAAAAAAGAAAAAAAAAACATATATATGTATATATATATATTGCAGAATATAAATCATTAAATCATTTTATCATGCAAGTATGTTGAACTAGTCTAGGGACCAAAAACTACAACATTATCATTCTTAACTTCCCTATTATGGGAAAAGATTGCCCATTATAACTCCCCAATTATGGGAAAAGATTACCCATCTATAAAACCGTTTCAATTACCCGGTAAAGATGACAGTAGCAAGTTACATGTATGAAATCTTAATTCTCCTAATTAGGGGTGTTTGTTTTGGCCTTTTGGAAACAACTATTAATTGTTGGTTTTAATCAAATGGATTAGAAATTTTGAATTATAAACAATAACAATTTCTAATTATCAAATATTAATTATCAATTATATAAAAAAAAACTAATCCAAACAACCCCTACAATAGAAACCAAATTCCCAAGAATTGTCAACTTATTTTTCAATAGTTTGATGATCCCTACAACCATAGAAGGGAAATTTCGTATCACATTGCAACTGTTTTATAAAAGATCCCCTTTATTTCTTTGTCTATCTCTTCTTTGGAAGAAAATTTCCAAAATTCACTAATTTTCCAAAACTAAGGGGGTGTTTGGTTGGGGAGCAACTTTCTCCTTAAACTTTTCTAAACATTTTTTTTATAAAGTTATTTATGTATTTTCACATATTAATATTATAACAAAAGGAAAGTAAAAGTGACATATTGAGTATTTATTTTTCTTGACAT